CACAACTCAGCAAGTTAATGCCACGATAATTCGTACAACATTGCTTGTTCCCTTTGCCCTTGTACGGTGTTAGCACAAGAGCGTCCTTCAAATCAGGAGACACCTCCACCTCAATCCATACGCGTTGCACCAAGTTGTGCAGCGCAGGCACTAACACAGGTCCGCCGTGTTTCAATACGTCAGGCAGGATTCCGTCAGCATCTGCACAATTACCGTTTCACAGCTGAGCAAGTGCTTTCAGCTTCTCATCCACTGTCAGCGTGTCCGCCATACTGGTTTTCACATCGTTCTGCTTCAGGCTGTTCAAAGTAGGCCAGTCGAACTCTGAGCGGTTGTGCAAGTGACAGTCAAAGTGTTTTCGCCAGATCTATATTATGTCCGCAGTCTTTGTGCAGGTAGCGTCTGAACTACTATCGATCAGCGACCTCAGAGGCTCCAAACTCGGATCATTCATCACCTACAAAGAGTCAAAGGATTCCTTGTGTTTGCGACGTTGAGCGTGGAATTCTATCTGCTTTGCCTTCTCCATCCACCATGCAATTTGATGCGACGAATCTCTCGGGTCAGCCGCCGTCGAAGTTTACAAAATTTTCTCTTCTTCTCCTAGTTACTGGGGTCTGGGACATGCGCAGCAAATGCTGCATTCTTCTCACACACCAATGCACCAATTATCGCATTGTCCTCATCAGGTCGCTTACAGTCTCCTCCGCAGCAGCTATCACCCGGTCGCGAATGTGGTGCCACAGGTCGCCAAGTGTGGCTATGCCTTCCACATCACACATGCTTGAAGCCATCGCCTTCTGCAGCTCAATACTGTTCGCCACAATGCCGAGGGGGAAATGTTAAATTTATGCCGATTAACGGGGGGAGTGCAGCATATAGACTAACGAAAATATATGAACAGTTTTGCTCCGCACCAATTGGTGACGAGTGTCATACTCAGCTCCACACCGTACACGTATCATGCGCACTTCATGAATATCACGCAGAATTACGATGACATAGTGCAGCAGATGAACTTGACCACTCCGTGTGTGCATCCAAGTTGCTTTATTGCTCGCACTCTGTGCAACCAGAGTGTTCGAGTTCGTCAGGCCGTGAGTGGCACACAGTGAGAGCAGCCTGTCACCTTTCGCATTAGCTGAACCAATGCCATGTGGACCGATAAAATCTGTCAACACCGATGCATCACGCCCAACGCGCACTTTGAAATCACTCAGCAGATATAGTCGGTCCCTCCTCGGCACAAAACGTATCACGGAGGCTAGCTGAGTATAGAAATGATCACATGTGTTATCAGGATAAAACATGGTTTGAGCGTACGTGCTTATAAAATTGGCAAATTTATCTCTTCCGAGTAGTAGGCGAACAATCGTCAGCCGCGCGCTAATGCCTGTTGGTTCACCCACCAGCTGGCCATGGAGGCGATCGGAAATTGCAAATCCGACCCCTTGATCACGTGGTGCTGAAACACCCTTTGCCCACCCAGTAGAATGTGTAGCCAGCACCTGCTATATGCAACTTACCTTGCTCATCGAGCCGAGTCTATCTGAGCGCCGCAATATCGATGTGGTAGCACGCCAGCTCCATCGCGACCAGGCGGTACGTTCCTCGAGGCTCTCACTCGAGTTTCGGTACATTAGTGTGCGCACGTTCCAGCACCGGATGCCGCGTAGATTGCGCGCAGGCATACAATTGCATTGGTGGGCAATCGCGCACCAGGTGGCGGTTGTGCTTCTAAGGTTTTCTTGGGGGAATCCATCCGGAATCCTTGGCTCAATAGCACCACCCACAAGGCAGTAGGTGCTTCGGATGTTTGCTTGACGGACTCTGCCCGGAGCCTCTAGCACAGGAGCCTGACCCACAAGACAGTGTGGAGCAGATCCAGCTCAGGAATGTGATTGCAATGACAGTTTATACTCTGCTTGGCGGCCGTCACACGCAGCCTTGGAGGTATTGGAACGATTCATATATTTTGCGACCGTAGTAAGATACGCACTTGAGAACACGGCCAGAAGCAAGTGGGTTTGGACGTGTTTGGACTAATTTGACCAGGGCTATCGGGCTTGAGGCGGGCAGTAGCAAACCTTTGAACACCCGGAGGTGCCTTTACACCGTGTGTATGACGCTCCTGCTCCACGCCAATCGAGCAGTGAGCTTATAACTCGTAGACCTGTTTATTCCCAAGGACAGCTTTTACGGGAAGAGGACCATCGACCACTTCCTAACCTCCGAAGAGGACGGACTAGGATGCTGGCAGGGAGCCCACACCTGACAGTAGAAGGACTCCGGTCCTCAGCCAAGGTCTTCGGTTAAATGCACACTCGAAAAGCAGCAGGGTATAGCACATGCTCAGTTCACTGACTCATGCGGAATGGTGTCCTGGATATTAGCATGGAGAAGGGCGTAACCAAACTCCCACCCAGCGGTCTCCACGAGGAGGCGTCCAGGACATGAGCCATTGGCACAACAGTAGCATCAGTGGGTAGACCATCGGTCAGGATCTAGCCACCACCAGCCTGAGCGCACCATATGCTCTCCCGCCAGACTAAATAGATAAGGATCAGTTAATGTACAATATTTTCGTCTGCGAAGTGAGCACATGATGTACCAGATATTCAAAGCTAAAATACACTTCGATTTTAGAACTCCTAATGTATCACTCTACCATATCATCATCCACTTTATCGGCTTTCGAGTCGCACATGTACTTTTCAATCCACTTATTCTTCCGAGAAAATTTCCCACACTACAAATTTATATCGCGCTGGGAGCCGACAAAATTTGTCTGAAAGCTTTGTAGGTTACGGCCACAAGTTTTTCAGTTCTGTCGCAGTTTTCTAAAATCGCTTCAGTTAATGAGCCAGCGTTGGAGTCCTCACTCCATATTTAAAGGTGGCAGTCGTTCACATCTTGCAAAATATCGCTCAGTGACCCTCCTTCCTTTGCTCTACAAGTTACTGCAAGCGTTGATCGTTGAGGGTTTGATGAAATACCGGAAAATATGTAACGTTCTGCTACCGCAGCATCTAGGCCCTCGTTAACACTGGTCATTCACCCCCAAGCTGCAGATAGCAGGATTTAGTTAAACAAAAGAAGCCGATGGTAGGGCCGGAATCGTCGTCATGTACATGGACCCCACCAACGCTTTAGACCAGCAGAAGAGCTGTATCCTACCTCATGTGCTACCGCACAATGTAATCGGTGTTCCTCTTCCTGGGTGCATTAACGGTTTTTTTTCACCAAAGGCGTCTCCAGGTGCGGGTACATGGATTCCGCTCCAACCCGCATGAAGTGAAACTTGCTGTTCCGCATGCCTCGTTGCTGGCAATGCTCTCATTCCTGGTGTTTATCAGCGATATGAAAAGAGTTGTGGCACTTAAGTTCGTGACTTTCGACGAGCGAGCGAAGAATATCATTGTGATCATGAGATCTTTCAATGTGACCTATTTTGTGTTCATGCTTTACCAACGAGGATCGTAATCCAATTTAAAAGATCCAAGTGGAAATTGACTTATCAGCTTCATCAATCGTTGAGTGTGTATATGTCTGGGTACGAAACCTCATAGAAGGTCAAATAAGTACTTGACCATGGTATCAGTGTTCAGGACGATCTCGACTGCGCGAAGCAATCCAAGCAGGTGTCAAAAACCGGTAATTAACAGGCCAGCATTCTTAGCAGTGCACACCGCCATTTTGACCCGGCAATGTTATCACAATTCCTCAAAGCCTACGTGTAACCGCACATAGGGTACGCAATTTAAGCATGGAACCAAAACAGAAACAAGAACGTGTTATTCTCACGTCTCGCAAGCGATGGGCAACTAGGAATGTTAGGAGATAGTTTCATCTGCTCTACCAGCTAAGAATGAAATCCCTAGGTGCGCAGCAGTCGAATTCAGCATTTGCAGGGACCTCAGTGGTTTGCCAGTTCATTTGGCACCCAAAAGAGTTTTACCGAACACATAATCAATAAAATAATTCATCAGCTACTACTGATAAATACTGTATGATGCAGTAGAAATTGTTTCTTTCTCTGGGTGTGTCAGAGGTGGAACACAGTGCTAACTTATGTTAACTCTGCCCCGAAATTAAAAATTTTATAGAAAGGTCTAGACGAAGAACAGTGCCATTCGTATTTCTTTGTATACCTTGTGTCAGCTACAGTCTACTTAACGCAATCAAACGGTGCTTCCAGCATTCTGCTCAGCGGATTTATACTCATTTTCATGTGAACTTGTCAGCTTTTACCGATGTCTCAATGCAAACACTATGTGGATTTCGCCAAATAGGTTTCTATTCTATCTTACTGTTTTCACCAGTGAATTGGATTCATCCAAATGGACTTGTTAAGCATTAACTTTTGACAACAACACGAAGTGTTCCACTGTTCCCTTTTAACCATCCATGCCTAAACGTATCGAAAAGCATGTACAGCGTCTTACTAGGAGATTACACTTTGACCTAGACCACATATTATGGCAGATTGTAGTTCCGCCGAGACTTGGTGTCCATGCGTTCATAAAAACCATGTAGGATTCTTCAGTGTTTTGTTATCTCAGCAACTATGTTGGCTTATTTCAAACTTCGACCAAATAACGCTTTACACTCTGTCATTTCATGGTTAAACCGACATGGGAAAATGCACAAATATCATATGTACACCGAAAATTTGCTGCAATTCAATCGTTCTGCTTTGGGTTTTTTTGTTATATTCAGTTTTTGGCTTCAATCCTTATCTACGGAAATCGTTGTGCGTTTGCATTTTTAATCGTGTTGAACATCTTGTCCCGATGAATATGAGGAATTTTGGCAAAATTTCAATTATTAAATTCCCTGTCACCAGTTTGCTTAATATGTGGAGGGCATACTACAAAAATTTGTAGCTTTTGTCTTATTTGTTGCCCATGCTACAAAACAGCATTTAGTTATTTCTTTCCTTTTGTTAAGCAACACAATTAACTTTGGTGTACCCATTCTTAATACTCTGAAATCCCCAGGCTCTTTTTCAGCACACAACATAACGTTCTGGCCATGGAGTTTGAGGAGCCACAGTGGCAATATGTATTTGGTCCAGATGCCAAAGCGGAACATGCCAACGTTCGTATACCTACTGCTTCTGAGAACACATTGTCAAGGCGACGTCCAAGGTCACATGCAGAAGTAAGGTACAACAGAGCACGGCTCGTACGCTCAGCTGACCCTAGGCTTTTAAGACATGCTATGCATGTAAGGAAATGTAAGTTTCGGCCAAGTTGTGTGTGCAATGCTTTCATCATGAATATGAGCAATGTACGTGTATAATGTGTACACCTGGTCTTCGCTTATGTTTAAACCTATGACATTACAACCAACCTACATGGAATACATTTTATAAAAGGGCGAAACGGGCTCACATTAAAAAACAAATTTGCCAGTCGATACACACACTTTAAGGAGATTAACCTTCAGAGTAATGATAGAAAGCTGTCTAGTTTAGATGTAAAATGGTTAATGAACCGTTGATCACATCCTTTGGAGTGACCAAATGGTCCGTCGATTTTAGAGTTTATACGTAAATAAAAATCTTACTAAGCTTTCCTACTAATGGGATCAACGCAGGGCAATATAAAAATGATTTTTGGTGAGGATGTTTACATCTGACAGTCCAAACAAGGTAGTTAAATTCCCTTTCCCAGCGGTAACAAATCATGCAGTATCTTATGGCCAACATCAATGTCATCGCAAACCAGAAAGGAGACATTTGTTCTATATCAGGGGCTTGAGATGAAAAGCACTTGACACAATCTATTATACTTTGACAAGAATTTATTGTCCGGAAACTAGAAAGAATGATAGCTTTGTGTTTTTGCAGGTGCTAAAATATGCAGAAAAATGTTTATAAAAGCTTTCTTACTTCTGCTGAGCTTATTTTAACTTACTGTTTAACCGCTTCATTAAAGTAACCACGGCTCAAAACGAAACATCAAATCAAAACTAATAACAAGAGATACAAATAATTGTACTGCTACCTAATGAAAACTATCGCTGTAGTAGACCCGTACTTACTTGTACAAAAATCTTGAATGGATGGATGAGCTGTGCAAACTGTTTTGCGGTAGCACTCAACGCTTTCGTGTTAAAACTGCCCAAACTAAACACAAATCAAGCCAACATAGTCTCTTCTCGTCAACTTGTTATTTCAAGAGAACGCGGGCCTTCGTCAACCTTAGTTCCGACAGTGCACACTGGGCGTGATTTGATCTATAGGTTATGTTGTATTAAGGACAATTTAAGTCATTTTGGAGTAGATTTGCGTGTTGCCTTGTTTCAAAAGTGAGCAAGGAGCTTAAGAGCACCGATTCTGTCCTTAATATTATGTCACACAATTGCAGTTTTACACCCCGCCTCTCGTCAGAAGTTTTGAATGGGATTGCAAAACAGGAAACTAGATCAAATGAAAAACAAAGTAATTACTTGTTACCACAATGTACAGAGCTACTGAGTAGGAGGACTATTCTCAAAGAAAATACTGATTTTACTTCCAAAAGAGTATGAATATTGATTACCAAAAATGCTACCGTGCATGTATTTCACTGCAAAGGCAGATGCAGTTCATTACAGTAATCTGCTAGCTGACTACCTAAGTCGCATTACACGGAAATTGCTGCTCTAGAAAAATGAACAATCAGTTCGCCTTTAAAATAACTGGGCATTTGACGGCGTACTGGTGGCTAATTCTTACGTCATATCAAAGCTGTTATTAACAAAAAGTTGATGTTGCGCAGTAGGTGCTTGCGAAACACTTTTATTGAATGCACGAGATAAAAAATGTCACACAAGTTTTTTAGGTTATGATTTTAAAATGTTTGAAGATGTTACAGAGAAACAGAATATCTTATTATTAACCGTTAGTCACGACTTGAGGCTGCAAGTAGCAAAATGTTTTTCTTAAAATACTTTCTTCAAACATGATGTCTTTTAAACACACAATCGCTAACATTAGTTCTGATGTCATTTCGCTTCTGTTCGTATCACAAAACACTTAAGTATCCTAGCTTTGGCGTATGGTGTGTGGTTCATTTGTTTAGTTTAGTTGCTTCGGTTCCATTTTTTTAACGTACAATTCATGGTATCTTAACCATTGAAAAAGAAGGGATTGTTTTGCCTAAATTTCTATACAGTGTACTTTAACGTTCGAAGTGGTTCTGGTATTAGCTTGATGACGCTGCATTTATGCTGAGCTCGCTTTAACACTTGCTAATGAAAACAGTACCAACAATGATTTAGCACATTGAATCCTTGAAGCAAGCAGAACTGGTTGTTTTATAACCTGTTTATATGGCCAATATAATGCACTTGTCTTGTTATCTAAATAAGAAACATAATAAAAATGCATAAAACATCACCTTTTATCTAAGATATTGGGTTAAAACGTAAATTTCACAGCAGCAGACTGGTATTTGTACGATCCTGGGATAAAGATATTAAAATACCTAACAAATCCGACTTTGCAAAACATAAATTCGGGGCCTTTTAAATAATCCTTTCATTTTTCTTGCTTATGAGCACCTACAGATAACACTAACTTCTCGTCAAGACCGTTTGGCATCAAGCGGTCCCGTTCCGCCTCGCTGGAAGTAAAATCTTCCAGTTCAACGTTTGGACAAGGCCTTTCTTACCGAGCACAATTCCGCAAATCTTTGTGGAGACCGAATAACCGTGATCAAGAACTCACGGAATTTTTTATAACCCCTCCAATCACTTCACGCCCGACTGTCCAAAGGTCAGTATGTTAGTTTGTTTTGAACTTTCAGAACGCTAACGATGCGAATGCCTGTTATCTTTAAACGATATATCTATATTCGATTATTAGTGGAAGTATTTTATACTGGCCAATTCGAATAGCTGGCTTTATTAAATAGACAACAAAGAGACTGAAGAATTTACTGATGGGTATGATGATAAACGATTGTACTGAAAACAAACGAATTGCTGCTTGATATGGTGTCTATAGCACCCGTAATTGATCTATCCCTTCGACAAAATTGGCGCATAACCTACGGGGTCAGTAAATATTCATGCGTGGTTAAAAAAATATAAATTACCGGTTATACGCTTGATAATGTAGAAGCTGTATTCTGGCACATATTGTGAAAAGTTATTTTACCTTTTACCGCAATGGACAAATGTGCCTTCGATAACCGTCTTTGCTGATTGTTAGATTATATGGTCCATGCAAATATGAAGTTTTACCGGGAAACATTGCAAATCAGGTGAATAATAAACAGACTAGTTATATAACCGTCAATCTTAGAAAGCCTTACTGTAGAATCAAGACAAAATGTTTGGTCTTGCATATATGCTTAAAAATAACATTACCACAGACTTCAATGATAATATCGGCGATCATTTTGAATGATTGGTAAGCAAGTGACGTTTTGGTGAACTACACAAAAGGCGCGAAATCAGAAACTATGATATAACGTAAAATGGTAAGACTGGTTTAAACACTACTCACATAAAGTAAGAATACGCTCTATAAAACAGCTTGCTTTTGTTGTTGGTTTCTACTTTGAAGACAACAAATAGCAATGACAGCAGTTCGTAAAAGGAGAAATTATAGAGAATACTAGTGGCCGGGAATGCGGTTTAGTGTGTTTGTTTTGACTTTCATTTGGCACTACGGCTGCAATTGGTTCAGTATTGGAATGGATAACGCCGTCAGTGATACTTCAGGGAGGTGGATTACCAAAGCTACTAACACGCTTGTCTTTAGGCTCATAGGTCCATATTTGGCCTCCAGCATCATTGGTCATTTTCTTCCTTATCCTGACTTACGATGACTTGCTAATTTGATCAGCAGCGCTGTATAGGCCGCTTTTATTTCTAAGTTGCTATTAAATAAGTTCTGCACCAAGTATATAGCTTAAACGAAGTCAGCCTTCTACGGATTCTTGCTCTTCCAATCATTCGGACATTTTGCTAGTCAAACTCGGCGCTTTTCTGCGCCTATATACACCGAAATTATCGTCTTCCGGTTATGGTGATAGACTGCCACCCTAGGCTTGTTAAACTGCTTAAGTAGCTTTGTTCATGCCTTCGCATTTGTCGCAAGATTCTTCAGCTTGTTTGTGGGGATGTTAAAAAAGCGGGGATTGAGGGAACAAAAGATGCGCTGAATTTTTCGATGCCTTGTAGGATAGGAAAAAAACAACCAAAAGTGTTGGAACTAGGCGTTCTTTAGGATCCGAAAGCAATCGAACCGACAATTTACTTTTGGTAAGCAAGAAAACGAAAAGGTGTTGAGCACTGACCGTGAATGAAAGTAGCTAGGTATTAATAGTAAGCCACTTCTCTAAGGTTGCCCTGAAGATGTAACCTAACCGTGAAGAATATTTGTAGTGAAAATATTCAACTCGAAGTAATACCTGGCATTTATATAATGTTATAGATAGGTATGTCGCGTGAGGGAAGTATGGCAAATATATTTCACTGGTAAAAGAAACTACTAGGAAATAAATAAATGTTTACAGTGAGCCAGTTTTCAATGGTCTCGTGTTCTGGTATATTAAGTGAGAAATGAAATAAAATCCATGCAAAAATTAATAACCCCTGAAGCGGATTTTTGTTTCTTGTACTAATACACCTATAGGCACAGTCGACTTCATGACAAATGCCGAGCAACGCAATTGTGACGACCACGTATAAACACCGATTTAAATTAGCGGACGCAAGTTTAAAAAAACTCTTGATTATATCATGCGTGACTATTTATTTCAACACACCGTTGTCTGTGACCAACTAACAACATCAATTTTGCTTTATGTTTCCCTACTTTTTCTACTTTACATGCGTGTTTACTAACATGCAAGCGATTTTTTGAAATAATAGTGGCGGAATATGTTTACCACAAGGTTAATTTTCCTGATTATTAATAGAATTGGCCCGGCTGTTCAGCTGTGGATACTGCAATGCAAGCATATGTGACGTTCTGGCTAATACTCTAGATCCTAATTCTGATCTTTCTTGTAACAAGTGATGCCCATATAGAATGCTATCAACTGTAACCTTTTCAAATTGTTTCGTTGAGAGTTTTTCTTCTGATGAGTTGAAACTGTCAACGTTGAAACTATCGTTGCTCGCAATCTCAGATAGAGTTAAAACACCAAAGATGCAGGTGAATACTACAACATGAGTCTTAGAAGTTAAAACACTAATTCTTACGTACCTGTTGTTGGAAAATGCAGCAAGAGTAGCAATTCAACCAACTAAAATTTTGTTGATCCACTCGCTCATAATGTGGCAGTTTCCCGGTGCAAAATAATCGGTGGTCAATTACCTACAGTGCTCTTAGCAAAACTGACATCAGTCATACGGAGAAGCTTTCAGCGGTCGACAGGAGATAATACTTAAGGTTGTCCCAGAATTCCTAACGCGAGGTACTGTTGCATTTGTGTTTTTAGTACGAGTATTGCAGCTTCTCTACTATAGCTTTTTCCTTTGCTCATTTTCTTATTGAGCAAAGGATTAAATAGCTTGTACGATATTAAGGAACGCAATTCAGAAATGCATGCAATGGACATGCTTTACGGATGCAAGTTACCGTGAATTAATGGTGTGATAACTCCATATAAGAATGCACGCAGGCGGTTTTCATACATAGCTAGTTCGATAGATCTAAATTAATGCCAGTCACCCGTTAGCAAAAAGTATATTGTCATTGTGTCAGAATAATCCAACAGTTATTTTGCATTTCGTATAATAACTTTTCATTTACTGCATCTGTTTTATTTCCAGGAGGGAGCCAAACCAAACAACAACTTCGTTTCTTAGAAAATATCACACAGCTTCCAAAACCACTCGTCCTGTGCAGGAAAAACCAGTGCGAAAGAAAGATAAAATAGCGTCCATTAAACAGGTCTCACCTGAACGCAGCAAAGAAGTACAAGATGAGCATTTGCCCGTTTCACTGAATCGAAGGTGGAGTTTTAGCGTTCTGTCAGCATACTACGCTACAGCCGATAAGGATGGTTACGGCGAAAGCATTTCCAACACCGTCAAAATGACTTTACTCCAGCGAGTGCGGAACCGACGTGCCCAAATGGTCGGAGAAGATTTGTCGTCACACTTCATTCGAGTACCCGTGCAATGCAACAACTTGCGTCTTAGAAGTCTATCGGAATCAGCCAGGAGAAATACAATTTTGCCAAATAATCCGAGCCCTGCCTCAGAACCAGATATGGAAGCTTGTCGAAAGAAAACACGTACAATGAAAGAATGCGTCTGATCCAGCAGCTTGCAATAAAAGAGAAGAGGATTTTATTTCGTGAATGTGAAGAAGCGCGTTTAACTAATATGATAACATAGGCAGCTAGCTGTATTTCAACGGCATCAATCAAAAAAGGATTCAGTTAAATTCAATAGAATTAACCATAAGTCGACTCTAAGTACCTTTTCTGAATCAAATTGTGCTATCCCATTCCTACTAAATAAGGTTTGCAGTTTGCGAATATACACAGGATTTCACAAGAGAATTTGTTGTAAAGTGGTAGACGTGTTTCGAAAGGCTAAATTTATCAGTTATCAAAGGTTGGGCGGAAGGTACAACAGTTGTAAATCTGACAATCGACGATCGATATCTCTCTAAATGTTCCCAGCTAGCAACAACTTGGAATTCTAGTTTCACCCAAGAAGCTTTCAAGACAACCTTTAGTGGCGCAGTAGTTAAAATTTTTGTAACTTCTCTTTGCATGGCTATTATTCCCAATTGAGTTAAATTAAATAATCAGTACTATTTGAGTAGTTATTAAAGTTACCCTCCAACAAAGTGTTTGATGGACACCTATCTACGCTTTGAATAGTTTGAGATGACCTAGTCCCCGAGATGGCTGAAAGGATTAAATATTACTGCATCGCATTTGCAAGCAAAAGATGATCTTTCGAAAGAATAATGAATACTGAATATTGAGAATAGAGAGCTAGAAGATAACGTGTTGTGTTGCTGCATCGTAGGTCGATAGGGCACATGCGTAGAATTAGGTCGCAGATTTCTGCGTGATGGCAGCATATTGCAGCTGAACTACATCTTATCCGGTTGCGATGGACTCCCTATACCAGTTGTCCTCAAAGTGAACATCGAGAAATCTCAAATACAGATACTGATTTTGCCTAGACTAGCGTTTTCATTAATTTGTTCCACTCGACGCTAGAAGCGTAGATAGTTCGCAATGTGCGTTAAAAACGGTACCACTAGTTTGTACCGGTGTCCGCGCGCGCAAAAGTGCAGCAGCAGCAGCTTCAACATAGCGAGGTTGCCCAGCTGCAGTATCCGGTGCGTCATAATGAGATCAACTCGAAGCAGACGATATGACAGGGTATAAAGCCCTAGTCCCCTACATCGGTCCTCGTATGACAAACTCCGTAAACTAGGGATGAGCCGGGTAGATACAGTCTGGACCCGTTTTAATCTCTTCACCTCACCTATTTTAATCAGACAATAGGTGGATGAGTCGTACTTAAGCACCGGTCTCATCCTACAATAGAAAAGATGGGTGGCAATCTCTTCAGACCAACTGCACAAGCTGCTTCTTAGTGCCCAAAGCAGGAGTAGTCCTTTTACATATACTCTGTCGTGTTGTTGACAGACCTCAGATTACAGTGAAAGAGTGCACTTAGATTTTTTACGGAACTGGTGGGATGCAGCGGTTGGCCGGCCAGGATGTACGCGCGTCCATTACCGCCCTTCTCTAGGCTCATGAACAAGGAGTTGACCGGGTTGACCGGTAGGTCAACTTCTGCAGTCCACCGGTATAGGCAGTCGACTTCCTGCTGAAACACGTCATAGTCGTCGGGAGAATCGGTAATCTTTCAAATCTTCAGGTCGTCTGCAAACAGTGCGCATGGCGATCAAAGAAGCTGAGGCAACTCGTTTATTTAGTTCAGGAACATAAGAAGCCCAAGTACCGTGTCCTAGATTACGCCGCTAATGGACGGATGCAATTCCGTTAGTTAGTCATCCACCAGAACCCGCCATCTTCGCCCAATAAGGAAGTTACTGATTCACGGGTGCAGTGCGCCACCAACAACATACATTCTCAGCTTGTAGAACAGGACCACATGGATCATTTATCGAAAGCTATACTGAAATCAATATAGACAACATCCACTGATTTCCCCCGGTTCAACGCTTGCAACCATTCCTGACGCGTCAACAGCAGGTTTGTGATGCAAAAATCGCCCTTCATGATGCTGTGCTGCGTCGGCTTTAGGAGATCTTTTAACTCCAGCAGCTGTAATAGACATCTATTGCCATCTTTTCGAGTGTCTTAGCCAAAACAGAAGTGAGACAACTCGGCGGATAATTATCCAGTGCATGGGACACCACCTTTTGAAATCGTCTGCACTCGCGCGCATTTCCAGTCGCTCGGAAATGCACCCTCGAACAGCGGTCTGTTGAGCAGGTCCGCCGTGGCAGACGAGATGACGCCCGATAAGCACTTTAAGAAAAGCGGATGAACTCCATCAGATCCGGTAGGTTTTGTGCCATCAACATTGGCGAGTAGACTGCGGACATCTTCTACACCATATTACAGGCTGTGGAGTTTAGAAGGGGCTGCACACGTCAAGATCGGCATAGGCGCATGCCTAGTTGTAACTACGGAATCTAAGTTATTCTCCAATGTTGACGCACGTTTAGCCTTGGAGGTCAGTGGCTGTCCATCAGTGCCCTCTAACACTGCTAGGTAACTTAGGTTTCACGCAAGCAAACTTTGCTTGGAGGCTGCTCTTCGAACTGCGGGCGCTTTTGCGCCATTGCAAATATTCCGATGCTTTTGTACGTTTCATAATCGTCGGCAGAGTCAGACAGGAGCAATTCATTCCACATACGCGTAGCCGACGAGCCAATTAGTAATACACTCTGTCGAAGCAACCTGGTTTCCCCGGACCAGCTTTCCTATATTTGTGGGGTGAGAAAGGTGCAACTAACGAATGCACCGGAAGCTAGAGTAGCCACTTATCTGGAATTCCTGAGTAGTGACTTCTTCGGTTAATCAGGTTTCGGCCACTCTCTGCAGGGAAGAAAGAGTGAAGCAAACAATGATAGACGGTCACGTTTGTTCAATAAATTGCAAGCATTTGTGAAGGCTACGCGCAGGCCAGGGTTGGAATCGCCGGGGGTGCATGAAACCTCATTAACGTGTTGATCTGGTTTCTGCAGTACCGGGGAATAACCAGAAAGCTTACAATGCGGTGGTTACTTTCCCCGCTTTCGGGAATCCGAATAATTGGCTGTTGTTTGACCTCTCAGGTGTGGCTGCACTTGATTTGCATGTTGAAAAGGTGCCTACCTGACTATTACCGACTACCTCGTCCATACTGCCTCCAGGAGCCAGCTGGTCGTTGCTGGAGGGGAAGGGGTGCACGGTCATTATGGTCCGGCTAGCTCGAAAAATGGTTCCATGCACTCAGTGTGGAGCGTACTACGTTCTAGCCACAGCCTTGTGTGCACTTGTTTCCCCAACTACAGCCTACTTGTGTTCCCCTTTAAAGGAGTGTGGGCGGGCTCCGTTGATGAAACGTGGCTCCCATCCGCATGCCTCCCGGTCTTATTCCTTCGGGTTTACACTGGATATGGGGGTATGTGGTTGGAGTTGTGGGGGATGCAGCGTAAGCCATCCGTGGTCAATCTGTAGACGTAGACGTCCTCTGGCTGGCCACAGTGACAGGCAAATCCGAAACCGGATGCCGCCAACCATCAATAAACATTAGTAGTGTTCAAATAATTAGAGGATGTATATGAGAACAAAGTGCACCTTCAGTTTCGAAGCAACACGATAGACCGTGATGTGTGACATTTTAATAAAAAATATGTGTTCATGTCCGGATTGTGTTCACTCGTGGTTTGGTATAAGTTTTTGGGACCCTAGACATGTACACCTGAATTTTGGGAAGAAGCACACTCGGTGCCATCGTGTTAAACCCTCGTCTTTCCAGCGTGATGTGAGCTGGATCTGTCAAAGGTTTGACACCGAAGTGGTTTTGCTTCATCTCGCTTAGATAGATTGTACACATTAAATTACTAAAACTTTAAGTTTATTTTGTTGACTTACATAACACTCCTGTTAACAATGCCTTTCTTTGTGTTTCTTTGACTGGTTAGACATAGCCACTGATTAATTCCATAATTTTCCGGATTGCTTTTATGCTCCTCCTAAACATTTTATTCATTACACCCAGTTCTGTTTCAGGCGTCTTGAGCTGATTTTACAAGCACACCTCATGCAGTTTAGGAAAGAGTAAACGTGCAAGTTTCGAAACTTCGACATTTTAAACGGGATATATTTTCAGCTGTATCTTGGTCATTCCATATTATAAGCTAGTTGTCGCTATCTAATGCACTTCCCATTTCCACGTATGTATTACGCAACGAAGCACAATCGATACTGCATCACCGTTTTGTAAGAACTTCTTATTCATTTTGTAATTGCTTCAGAATTTAGTTGATTGCGAGTTTTCTTACTTCCAATCGCCGTTACACGGTATATTTGGCATTCCAAGGTAGAAATAACTAAAGTCCACGGACTACAATTTAATCAGCTGTACGATAAAGTTCTTATTTGTGAAACTATGTGGTCGCCACTTTACCTTACACTACAGCCCACAGAATAAAAGTGAGCTGCCATTATGTTCATACTTCAATACTGATGTTAGCCTGGGCAGCATATTAAATTTCACAATTGCAAGTGTAGACGCACCATAATTGATAGTCAAGCGTTAAAGTTCAAATTCGACAGTTTAAACATTTGGGCATATTTGTCTCTTTTCTGTTAAGGAATGTTTCCAGGATGAGCCTTAATGGCAAAGCTTGAGCCTTTTCAGCATTTAGTTGGGAATTGCATTATTACAAACGGTGGTGGAGCAATGTACACAGCATTACTTCAGTGCTTATTTAAAATCATAACCAGTTCCACTGCTGTAATCCCAATTCTACATACGCGCTCAATGGACTTACTTACAATTTCTACATTGTCCAAATTTAACAAAGTCAATGTTTCTTTATTTATTCTACAACCTAAATGTAGTTACTGACCATAATGTGTGTGCACGATTTGGAGCACTGGCGTGGACTCTGACCTTGCACTTGTCTGCGCCGACCTCCGGGTGCGTTTCGGTGGACGTCAGCAACGACGATGTGAACAGATTGACATCAGCCATCTGGCGAAGCTAAGTGTTCTGAATGTGTATCAAAATGCTTTGACATCCGAGCAGATTAAGGGCCCATTGAAC